TGCGTGGAAAACCTTCGCCAACGTTATGTGTGTCTACTTCACCTATCAATGGAAACAGCGCCAACATTGAGGTTGATAAAGAGGATTATTAAACTCGTTTCAGTGAGAAAGGTGAACCTTCCTCGTTTTCACCTCGAGATGATATGGGTAGTTCATCTGAGTCAAATAAAGATGATGAAGACATTGGGAACTCGAACGACTGGGAAGAAGATGTTGGTGTCGAGTTAGCAGGAAAAGAAGATGATAGTGGAAAAAAGTGTTCGGTGTTCTTTGATGGATGTTGTGAAGAGGGGTGAAACGTTTGAAAACAAATCGAAGTTGAAAGCAGCATTGGAAATGTCAGCAATGAAGAATAACTTCGATTACAAAGTTGTGAAATCAGATAGAAATCTTTGGTACATCCGATGCATTGACAAGAAGTGTAAGTGGAGTGTTCGTGCTGAGGGTTTATCAGGATCCACGTATTTCATAATAAAAAAATATGTGACGGATCACACATGTGCGGCGTCAAGTATGAGTAATGGTGGTAGGACTGCTTCTGCAAAAACTATTGGGAGTCTCATAATGCATAGGTATAATGGTGTCAAAGAAGGTCCCAAAACTAATGATATTATACAGATTATGAGATTGGATCATGGATGTGAGATATCTAAATCATTAGCATGGGATGCTCGTGAGTATGCTATTAATATGGTTAGAGGTATTCCGGAGCAGAGTTTTGGTAAAATTCCAAGATACTTGCACATGCTAAAAGAAGCTAATCCAGGAACACACACATTCTATGAAACCGATGTCAATGGTAAATTCAGATTTCTGTTCGTTTCTTTTGGGCAGTCAGTACAGGTTTTCACACAGCCATGCGGAAAGTTGTTGTTGTTGATGGGACCTTTTTGAAGAGCAAATATAAAGGGGTATTACTTGTTGCAACATCTTTAGATGGAAACTCCAACTTGTACCCTATAGCTTTTGCGGTTGTGGACTCAGAAAATGATCGTTCATGGGGTTGGTTTTTCAGACAACTAAAGGTTGTTGTTCCAGACGAGCGTTCTCTTGCTTTTGTGTCCGACAGAAATAGCTCATTTTGTAAGGGCCTTGAGAATGTGTATCCTCTTTCTCAACACAGAATTTGCATTCACCATTTGTTGAATAATGTGGTCACAGATTACAGAGGAAAGGGAGTGGTTGGATTGATTGCAAAAGCTTCTAAAGCTTATAGAGTTGTCGATTTTCAGATGTATTTTCAAGCTGTGTGCAATATTAGCCCAGCCATTGGAAACTATTTAACAAAATCAGATGTCTCAAAGTGGGCTCGTTGCCAATTTCCAGGCTACAGGTATGACATCAGGACCACAAACCCGGCTGAATCAATAAACTCTGCTTTGCGCTCACTAAGAGAGTATCCAGTCATTCCTTTGTTGGATAGCATTAGAGAGATGCTTACTCGTTGGTTCTTCGAACGCCGCACAAAAAGCAGGAAGCACTCTAAACCATTAACCATTGCCACCGAAAAAAGATAGATAGACGGATTACCAAGGATAAAACGTTTCTTGTCCAGCCGGTTAATGAGCATCGTTTTTTGGTTCGTGGAGATACAATCGACTGCCTGGTTGATTTGGACAGAAGAACCTGCTCATGTGGGAAATACGACCTACTGAAAATCCCATGTAGACACGCTGGTTTAACAGTTGGCCGAGCCCCATCCTCACTAACCGATGACATGTACACGACTTCTACTTGGAGAACAACTTATCAAGAAACTATCAATCCAATTAGTTTTCCTGAGGATAGTTGGGTTGTTGCAGATAATGTTAAGAATGCTAATGTGTTACCTCCTGATTCAAGAAGAGGAGCAGGAAGAAGAAGAAAACGCAGATATGAGACAGTTGAAGACAAGCTCCGTTCATCGCAAGGAACTCAAGGGAAGAAGATGCGCAAGTGCAGTCGATGTGGTGAGTCGGGACATAACAGAGCTACATGTGACATACCTATTTAGTCATGTTTTGGTCTCTGATTTTCATGCATTTCAATAAGTTTTTGGTTATGTCTTTGTTTTTGTTTCGGATTTAGTCATGTGTTTGTTTTGGATTTTCATGTTTTAGTCATGTTTTGGATATGGTTTACTTGACAGAGCTATTTAGTATGTCTTTGTTTTGGATTTTCTCATATTTTCCTGTTGTTTGATACGGTTTACTTGATTTCAATGTTATCTGTTTGACAATAAGTTGTAAACTGAGGCTAGCTTTGACACTGAGAAATCAAACAAGATGTATTATATTGTGAACAACCAACTATGGTAAACAAGAGGCACTTGAGTTTATAGTAGTCGATCATAACCAAAACAATACTCAAAACAACAAGAGATTCTTAATCCATCAAACTCAGACAAGAAGCATACAACAACTAGAACTTTCTCAGACAGTAAGAGAAGTCCATATTCCAACGATTGCACCTGCAACTACCATAGCCACTGTAGCAATCTTTAGCTTCTGTTTCATCTCCTGTGCAACTCTAGCAATCTCCAAGTTCACCTTATCATTGAGCTTTTGCGACATCTCATGTTCCACTCTAACCATCTCGAACTTCACCTTTTCCATAACACTTTCTTGAAACTTAGCAATCCCTTCAGCAACCATCTCATGTTTTGCATCCACCATTCGTATCTCGTCAATCAAAGCTTCATCAATCCATTATAATAGATGATTCTTAGTTTTTCTCTATCGAAAAATAAACAAAATTTAAGTCAGTATTCTAAGTGATATTGAACTGCTTAATATGCAAATCGAAATCAAAACAAGGACTTACATCTAATGCGATTTCGCATCGATAGAACCGTCGATACTTATTCTCCGCGGTTGATGAACCAAAAGTAGTTGTGCCCTCGCCACACCAACATCTTCTAGGGACACCATGAGTAGCGATACGAGGAAAACGAGCAGAAGATGTTGACGAAGTGGACATAGTGATTTTGTTTCTAGATTTCCACGATTTCGCAGAGAAAGAACCCTAATCCCCTTTTCTCTCTACTTTAGTTTCCTAACTTTTGGCAAATGAATAGACAATCACGTGTTTGGGCGTGTGTAGATCCGGGTTTTGGGGTCGGGTTTTAAGAATTTTCGGGTGGGCCTAGTGGGTATAAACCGTAAATGGTTGTACTCTGATAACTCTTATAGTGGGTGCTAAATGACTACATTATAATACCTCAATGGAGAAGTCATATGAGAACTAAACGTGTTAACATTCTAAGTTCTAAACTATAACTTAGTATGTCTCACGTGGGTCATTTGTATAACCTAAACCATAACTTAATATGTTAACATTCTAAATAGTATTCTTATTCACTCTTTATGTGATTTAGGGTATTGAATTTGAACCCAATCTAGTTAGTGTTTAGTGTGTTTTAGTGTATTCATTCTTTATGTGATTTAGGGTTTAGCTAATGAACCCTATCTATTTTAAGGTTTAGGGAATGTCCCCTATCTATTTTAGGGTTTAGGGTATGTTTAGAACTATTTTAGGGTTTAGGGTATGAACCTTATCTATTGTAGGGTTTAGGGTATGAACCATATCTATTTTAGGGTTTAGGGAATGTCCCCTATCTATTTTAGGGTTTAGGGTATGTTTAGAACAATTTTAGGGTTTAGGGTATGAACCCTATCTATTTTTAGGGTTTAGGGTATGAACCCTGTCGGTTTTAGTTCATGTAAGTACTTCAATAACAGTGAAATAGCAATGCAACAATTCCATAACAATAAGAGTAATGTAAAAATCAACATGTCAAATACAAAGAGGAAACAAATTAGAAATCTAAAACATCATCAAGCAACACCAACATATTCAAGTGAGATCTATAGTTTTTCCTGGAGCACGCTTTGGAGGCTTGAATGTTGACATTCTGAACTGCAAGACCTCATCATTTGCTGCTTCCCAGAGATCGTATGCGATCTTGTGCCGGGCTTCTTGGATGTTCTCGTCGTGCATCAAAGAGAAATCGAAGCCAAGTACATGGCACTCTATGAACTTCAAAGCATACGCACCACAATCATTATTATTCTTGTTTAGGTCGCCGCGCATAGGAACATATGAAACAGTATAAGGCTTCACATTGAAATCTTTCTCCCTTTCCGATGATTGAACACCCTTGACAATTCGTGGAATGAGGCTTGCGAATGCTTCCACCGTCCTCGTGTCCCTCAGACCCGCACAATCGAAGACCTCAATTGTCCGGTTCACAAGATTTACACACATAGAGATCCAGTGGTTTTGGTTGACAAAAGTCGGGACATAAAGACGATCAACATCAACATCCCATACTAAACCTGTTCTTCCATGATATGGAAGGTCACCTCTTCCATAATCGAGAAGAACTTCGTCGAGTTTGTACCCTCTCTTATTCCCCTGAAATTGCCCGTTCGCCGCGATGATACTATTACTAAACGAACAGCTCATAAAAGCCACTCGGTCTGGCTTCCAACGACGCAACGTGGTCTTTTCTTGAAACAAATACATCATGACGTCTATGTCCTGAAAAGCACATTACATATGTATGAGCTAAAAATACTTAGTTTAGAAAGTAGCATTATCAGATGTAAACTTACAAAGTTCTTGAACCATTGACCAGGCCCAATTATACGTTTACATAACGTTCCATCAAAAATGGATGGCCCAATCTTAAGTCGACTGTAAAGAAGAAGCATTAGTGTTACAAGCAAGNCCCATAGTCTTCTGTAAGTACTCTTGGATCCCTAAATTGGCATCTAAGGTCTCAAATAAGCTCCCAAAAATATCAGACACATTTGAATCCTGGTTATCAAACACAAAACACAAAAATTAACATTTTTAAAACATATATATTACAAGCCGAAACTACATCATCCTTACATCAACATTAAAAAACAGTCCATGATCCTTACATTATTCGTACAACCACCCAAAACGAAAACATCATCCTTACCTTAATAGTACAAACCACAAGTACAATACATGAGATCAATAGAGGTTTATCACTTGGTTACCTTTGACTTCGAGCTTTTCTTGGCAGCATTTGCAGGACCACCAGTTTCAGGATGACCTCCAGTGCGTGAAGAAACAGGAGCTCTGCTGCGAGAAGGAGCAGGAGTCGAAGCCGGAGCTGGAGCAGGAGTCGAAGCCGGAGCTGGACCAGGAGTAGTGAAAGTGGCAGCCGGATCATCAGTTACAGTGTGAGTTGAAGCCGTAGCACCAACAGGAGCAGTAGGAGTAGGACCATGTGAAAGACCTCGATTCTGAGATGCGAGGAGCTTCTCCTCAAATTTGGTAAACCGGTCATTAATTGTATCATGTACATCAAGCGCTAAGGAAGTGAAGGACGACTTAAACATGCCATGAATGTAAGACTTCATTTCCTCTTCAAGCTCTCTATATTTCTCGGCTGATCTTTGGGAGAGTAAACTCTTCTTCCTTGACTGAACACCAGTATCNGGAGCTTCTCCTCAAATTTGGTAAACCGGTCATTAATTGTATCATGTACATCAAGCGCTAAGGAAGTGAAGGACGACTTAAACATGCCATGAATGTAAGACTTCATTTCCTCTTCAAGCTCTCTATATTTCTCGGCTGATCTTTGGGAGAGTAAACTCTTCTTCCTTGACTGAACACCAGTATCTTGAAACAATTTTTTCCTCTTTCTTTCAACAGGCACAGCTGCAGCTGGTTCTTCTTCCATTTCATTCTCACTTGTTTCTACATCCCCTTCTGCTTCTGTATTTTCTTCATCTGAACTAGGTACGTATGAGTGTCGAGGTTCTTGATAAGCCCATACATGCTTACTCCAATCATAGTTGTTTCGGTACATGTCAATGATGAGATCGACTCTTTCATTATTCATCTCACCCGCTTGTGCAAACTCAGCTTGAACAATAACATCCGAGAACGTTCCGTTGGAAGCGATGGATGGAAACAAAACTCCCTACACAATATAAACAAAGAAACAAGGTGAAAACACATACATTAAGATAAAAGAATTAAATCACATTAAATTGAATCAAAACTTACAGTGGAGGTAAAATCAAACTCAAGGCTACTAATATCTTCAAAGGAAATCCTACAAGATCCTTTCCAGTTTCTGCATCTCATGCTCATGACGCCTTGTTCAAGTTTCTGACCCAAAAGAGTACCAATGTCTGGAATTGCCTCCATCGCCCAAATCTGAAGTGCATAGGAGAATCCATCTATAACATAACTCTTCTTCGTCTTCACTTTGTTCCTAGCATCGATAATGGAACTCACCAGCATGTTGAAGGAATGAAGTACCCACGGGTACTTCCTCATCTTCTCGAAATCCATCACGAGCTTGATGTACTTGTGTGGTATCCCCACCTTCTCATCCTTCGCCATAACCATACCAGCAATAACACACAAATACACCAATCTCAGTCTATCAACATGAGACCACGTATTACACTTCTTTAGATGGACCTTCCTGATTTGTTGCAGAGTTATCTTTTTTTTCCTCTTAAGCAACAGACTCCAAAATCCTTTATCAGATTTCCAATCATCGATATCCAAGTCAGGTTCGTCTTCATACTTCAGACCAGTGATCGCATAGAACTCTTGCATTGAAAATCTCAGAGGCCTCCTAGCAAAATGGAACCACAACTCATGAAGCTTTGCGGTCAGAAGCTGCTTACAAACGAAGGTGTGGATCACTGTCCCAGAATAGCCAAGCTTGTGATCATGAATGGCCATGACTTGAGAAAAGAGCGGATCCTCCAAGACATCCGAGTACTCAGCTGGAACGGACGCTTGCACCAACTCAAGGATCGTAGCTCGGCAAGTGTTGTTGACCTTAGTTTTAGTTTCGGTTCCTTCTTGGAATAGGCACTTAGGCAATTGATCCATAATGGTACATGTGAACAATGAAACAGATACAATTAGTACTCATGAGTAATGTATAAATCAGACACCATAGTCAAAGCAAAACGAAGACAATAATGCAAAACCGAGACCACATACCATTCCAATTACATCAATTAAACGAGATAAAACAACATAAACTGTATAAAATTGAGTTAACAATTTGGTAAACCACAAAACATCAAAAGTTAAGAAACTTTGCTATCATATNAAGACAATAATGCAAAACCGAGACCACATACCATTCCAATTACATCAATTAAACGAGATAAAACAACATAAACTGTATAAAATTGAGTTAACAATTTGGTAAACCACAAAACATCAAAAGTTAAGAAACTTTGCTATCATATAAGCCTAAATTATTCACACAATCAATAATATAAACATGTTATACTCATATTAGGATTAAAGACACTCAAATCAAAGAGAGAAGACATGCGAATTTATGTTCACAAGTCCAAGAAAAAAACTGAAACCGAAACCACATAGCTTACAAGATATTTATGTGTAAAACCCAAGTCAATTGTGTATATATGAGACACCAACTCGAGCTATGTCAACACAAGCCTGAAACTTTAATAGCAAATCCGATGAAAAAAATCAAGTGTAAAACTTTAAGAGCAAAACCGATGACAAAAATCTAAGAATGAAACTTTGATAACAAACACTCAAATCATTCATAGAAACTACATTTCAAACCTATCACAATCAAATATATGAGTTAAAAATGAATCAAATTTAAGATACAAAGACATGCAAAAACAAAAAAATAACAACTACTTGAACAAACCTGAAAATCTCTATCGTTTTGCTTGAACTACACTTGAGAGTGTATATTGCAGAGGCAAGGCCCGAGCTTCACTTTCCGACGAGGCACGAGATACACTGTTTGGGATTTACTTCAGAACGAGATGCGGAGTGAGCAAGAGTGTCTTAGACTTCGATTAATAAGAAGAATACCACCGGAATCTTATCGGGAAGAAGGAACACCGGCGACGGCGAGCTCTGACAAGCCGATGACTTGGAGTCGGCTCTTCTCTCTATCGCCAACGAAGGGGTGAAAATTAGGGTTCGTACAAACCGCAATTGGGAATAAAACGATTTTTCCCCTTTTGTTTATTAATATTCTTTTTTACTTTTAATTTTGTTTTTAATAATTAAAATAATAAAAATCATTAAGGTTTATATTAGGGACTTAATTGGGATTTTCGAAAAATATTATACTAATTGGAAAACTTATACTTCCTATTATGGCATATGGACAATCTATTAGTTTTTTGTTCTATATTTACAATTTTCTCTATTTTCAATCTCACACCATCCACGTACTCACCAATTACCCATTTCGGCTGATACTCCACAGCCCCAGTCAGTCAGGAAGAATGAGTGGGCGAGCTGAGTGGATACAATATCAAATTCAAAAGCCAAACAAACGTGAAGTCTCAGGTATTGGCGGATTTTATGACATAACTACCTCCCAGAACGGATCAGGAGTCGGCATACAACTCATATCTCCCACCAGCGAAATCATTGAACAGTCTTTCCGCCTCGCTTTCCCGGCCTTTAACAATGAAGCCGAACATTCAACAACATTGTGAACAACCAAAGAAAGAAAGAGCGCAAACGTGCATATGTCGAACGGAACTGTGAGGAGGGGCATACCTGTCTATGGAACGACTACTTCAATGAAGAACCGATATTTCTGCCTCATTTATTCAGACGGCGTTTTTGCATGAACAAGACAGTATTCATGCGTATTGTCGACCGTCTCTCAAAAATTGTTCGATTCTTTCAACAAAGAAAAGATGCTGTCGGAAGATATGGTCTACCTCCAATACAAAAGTGTACGGCAGCTCTTCGTATGCTCGGTTATAGATGTGCGGCTGACGCCGTTGACGAATATCTTCGACTTGGTGAAAGCACGGCACTTTTGTGTTTAACCCATTTCACAGAAGGCGTTATACAATTATTTGGAGATGAGTATCTACGCAGACCCAATGCAGATGATCTTCAACGACTACTCGATATTGGAGAGATACGCGGGTTTCTTGGGATGATATGAAGCATCGATTGTATGCACTAGGAGTGGAAAAATTTCCCAACCGCTTTGAAAGGACAATACACGCGTGTATCTGGAAAACCAAAAATTGTCTTGGAGGCTGTAGCTTCACAATATCTTTGGATATGTCACGCCTTTTTTGGTCCTCCAGGTACCTTAAACGATATTAACGTCCTTGATCAGTCTCCTGTTTTTGATGACATTTTACAAGGTCGAGCTCCAAGGGTACAATACATGGTAAACGAAAACCGGTATGATTTGGCGTACTACCTCACAGACGGCATATATCCTAAATGGTCAACATTTATCCAATCCATCTCAAACCCTCAAGGTCCTGAAGCAGAGTTATTTGCTAAGGTTCAAGAAGCAACCCGAAAAGATGTGGAGCGAGCTTTTGGAGTATTGTAAGATTGATTTGCAATAGTGAAAAACTCAGCTATTTTGTGGGACAAAAGATAAATAGGGATGGTTATGCGAACATGTATCATACTGCACAATATGATAGTAGAAAATGAACGCGATGGCTACACTCACTATGATACATCAGAGTTTGAAGAAGGAGAATCGATTAGAAATTCACAGGTGGATATGTCATATTCTTCCATGCCTTCAAACCTCCGTACTATGCTTGACATACGGATTCATGTTTGTGACCCGCATATACATGCACAACTGAAATATGATTTGATCCAAAATATTTGGAACAAATTTGATAATGAAAAAGATGTTTAATTATTGTATTTTTATATTTAATAATTCAATAAATACAAATTTTAAATTTAAATGTTTTATTTTGGATTTCTAAAATTCATTAAAAAAAATTCTAAGGACTCCAAAATGGATAACACCGTTGGACTAACAATTAAGATTAGAGTTTTTAACTATTCAAAAAAAATTCTATTACTAAGGACTCCAATGGTGAGTAACATCATTGGAGGTGCTCTAACTATACTATGACTCGTGTGCAAGACGTGGACTTTGTAATAGTCTTGGTTTTCTACAGCCCAGCGTAAGTGTACACATTGCACACAGCATCTGCATTGCAGCGTACGTGCAGTGTCGAATATTTTAAAATGCGAGTTGATTTGTTTTTGTATATAGCTTTTACATAATCCTGAAGGCGGACAATCAGTGAGTACGTAATAAATAATTTAGGATTATAAAATGAAAAGAATGGTAGTATGTTACTGTCTGTGGCAGTGGGTGTGTCGTGCAAGTTATTTTCTTTTCTTTTACCGCCACCTATAAAGGGTCCGTTCGTGTGTTTCCCGATGTACAGTAGTCTATTACTAAATCCTAGATATCAATTTCAGCCAACAATGTAAATAACAACTGATTATAGTTACAGAAATTTTCTAAACATTAACCGATAGAATTTAATGAAAAATAACCCAAAGTGTGAAA